TACAAAAACACAATATGACATTAACACAAGCTATGCTTAGAGACTACAAAAACACAATATGACATTAACACAAGCTATGCTTAGACACTACATAAACACAGTTTGACATTAACACAAGCTATGCTTAGACACTACAAAAACACAATATGACATTAACACAAGCTATGCTTAGACACTACAAAAACACAATATGACATTAACACAAGCTATGCTTAGACACTACAAAAACACAATATGACATTAACACAAGTTATGCTTAGACACTACAAAAACACAAAATGACATTAACCCAAGCTATGCTTAGACACTACAAAAACACAATATGACATTAACCTGTTAGAGGCTGAGCCTTTTTGGAGTTTTGGTGCCAAGAAGACTGAGCCTTCACGAGGGTATTCTCATATTTTATACACACAAAATTATAAAAAATAAAGCGTTTAATTAACATACATAAAACTATATATATTCGTGCAGGAAATTGAATGAACTAACAGAATATTTATGAATCAAACTGAAATCTCAACATTTATTCAAATTAACTATACTATTCTGATGTGCATAATTTATGCAAGAATTTTTTTTAAATCTTGAGAACAAACATAACTAACCTGAAAATTGTGGGTGAATTTTTTTTTGGAAGAAGCTTGAATAAAGTCCTAACACCTGTATTTTGGGAAGTCAGGCCCTTGGAGGCCCTTCAGATATGTCTGGCACATGGTTCTCTCATTTTCTTGCTTCCAGATATGTTTCGGTTGCCATGATGCAGTAGTCCTTTTCAAAATGTTTGGGCACAGGTAACCCCAGAAAATAAATCGATGTAAAATTACAGAACACATCAGACTTTCTCAAAAGCTGTCAATGAACAGCCCACATGTGCAAGAAATGCGAGAAGCAGTTTGATTGGCTGGTACAAAAACCTGGCTGCCAATATCAAGGCTTCTATTATATAGGGCCGACCGATTGGCCCAGTCGTCCTTTTGGGCTACATTGTGTTGAGCTGATATTTCGGCCGCGTCATCTCCAAAGGGTTAACGCAAGCCAGGCAACTAACAAAAGACAGGAAACTATATCTAAATCCTCTCTGCAACTTTTTTTTATGACATAAGCAGTAGGGCAATGAAGGAAGAAGATCATCACATTTCACGTCAAATGGTGTAAAAAAATCCATCGTACCCCAGATTTCAGCCCAGCCGTTAGTGCTCTAGATTAATTCTGCTGAAGACAGTCCTCCTGCATCCAGTGTAAATGAGCGTTTGTCCTACCCCCTGATCTATTCAGTCAACACCATGCTATTGCTGTTTTACATGAAAGTGAAAAAAAATTTAAAGTGCACAGACAAGTTTGATAAAATATACCTTTTCAATCTGGAAGATGAAGAATGTTTTCCCTGCTGTGGTTTTAATTTCACTGGTCTGAAGAGGATAAAAAAGAAGGTAAAAACAAGATAAGAACAACTGTGGAATTTAGACACAATGTGGTGAGTACTATTAAATTTTTTATATTGAAAAAAATATCCTTGCATGGCAAAATAAAAAACAAACAAACCATTCCCTAGCTGTAAACTCCAGTGTCAAGTTCTGGTTAAGCGCCCACTTCAAGAATGTTGGTCTTGTTCCAGAAACTGAGTTTTGAATGCAAATCAGTTTGACAGATCTGGCTTACTTGAATGCTGACTGTTGGTTCTTCACCTCTCAGGCATATGCACTCCGACTTGAAAGGAACACCCCCCCCCCCTTTTCCCTCCAATTAGTCAGCTTGTACAAGATCCTTGTTGGGACATGTGGAGCTCTGAAGTTCATGAATCCTAAAACCGAAAGTGCTGAAGTTACAAATGTCTGTGTAAAAACTGTTGATCTTACAGATTTTTTTTTCTTTTCAGGAATCTTAATGGGGGTCACGACCTATTTTTATGTAGAGTTCTCAGGCGAAAGGGTAAAGAAGCTTACATGAAGTCCTCAGGCAAGATCCCAAGATTCAGCTTCGACTGATACTCCTCTTCCTGTTGTCTGACCAGATTTTTCACTTGTTCGACTGTCATCTTGTTGTTTAGTGCACATTTCTTTAAATGTGATTGACGACTCTAAAACAAAACAAACAAGTGAGCACAATCAATATTATGAAATACTAACTAACTTTCACAAATTGGACCACATTGACACATTAAAAAACAAACAAAAATACTCTTAACAAGCAGTGCTTTTTATTATTATATATTCAGCTGTGTTGAGCAACGCATATGTGGGTTATACAAAAGAAAAGAATTTTATTTCATGCCAAAAAAAACCCCCACTTATGCCTGTCTACATCTTCCTTCTCAAAGCCTGTTCCAAACACACTGTCTGTCTACATCTTCCTTCTCAAAGCCTGTCCCAAACACACTGCCTGTCTACATCTTCCTTCTCAAAGCCTGTCCCAAACACACTGCCTGACTACATCTTCCTTCTCAAAGCCTGTCCCAAACACACTGTCTACATCTTCCTTCTCAAAGCCTGTCCCAAACACACTACCTGTCTACATCTTCCTTCTCAAAGCCTGTCCCAAACACACTGCCTGTCTACATCTTCCTTCTCAAAGCCTGTTCCAAACACACTGCCTGACTACATCTTCCTTCTCAAAGCCTGTTCCAAACACACTGCCTGTCTACATCTTCCTTCTCAAAGCCTGTTCCAAACACACTGCCTGTCTACATCTTCCTTCTCAAAGCCTGTTCCAAACACACTGCCTGTCTACATCTTCCTTCTCAAAGCCTGTCCCAAACACACTGCCTGTCTACAGCTTCCTTCTCAAATCCTGTCCCAAACACACTGCCTGTCTACATCTTCCTTCTCAAAGCTTGTCCCAAACACACTGTCTACATCTCCCTTCTCAAAGCCTGTCCCAAACACACTGTCTACATCTTCCTTCTCAAAGCCTGTCACACACACACTGACTGTCTACATCTTCCTTCTCAAAGCCTGTCCCAAACACACTGCCTGTCTACATCTTCCTTCTCAAAGCCTGTCACACACACACTGACTGTCTACATTTATCTTCTCAAAGCCTGTTCCAAACACACTGCCTGTCTACATCTTCCTTCTCAAAGCCTGTCCCAAACACACTGCCTGTCTACATCTTCTTTCTCAAAGCCTGTCCCAAACACACTGCCTGTCTACATCTTCCTTCTCAAAGATTGTCCCAAACACACTGCCTGTCTACATCTTTCTTCTCAAAGCTTGTCCCAAACACACTGCCTGTCTACATTTATCTTCTCAAAGCTTGTCCCAAACACACTTCCTGTCTACATCTTCCTTCGCAAAGCCTGTCCCAAACACACTGCCTGTCTACATCTTCCTTCTCAAAGCCTGTCCCAAACACACTGCCTGTCTACATCTTCCTTCTCAAAGCCTGTCCCAAACACACTGCCTGTCTATATCTTCCTTCTCAAAGCCTGTCCCAAACACATTGCCTGTCTACATCTTCCTTTTCAAAGCCTGTCACAAACACACTGCCTGTCTACAACTTTCTCCTCAAAGCCTGTCCCAAACACACTGCCTGTCTACATCCACCTTTTCTAATCAGTTTAGAGTTTTCATCTGTCTTTTGGAAGAATGCCCCATTTGTTATGTTTACTATCCCACAAGTAACATAACATACGATATAACATAATATACAAGCAATATAACATAACACACAAGTAATATAACATTATGTAGAAGTAATATAACATAACAGACAAGGAATATAACATAACATACAAGTGACATAACATAACATAACATATATTATAACATAACATACAAGCAATATAAGATACAAGAAACATAACACACAAGTAATATAACCTAACATACAAGTAATATAACCTAATATACAAGTAATATAACCTAACATACAAGTAACCTAAGGACCATGAGGATCATGCCTTGAAATGTATAGGGTATATAGTGCCCAGCCCACACGTACACATCAATCAGGACTCGGCTGATCTGGCTACTATTACTTGAGAACATATTTTCTGCTATCCATTTTATCGTGGCCCCCAGGTCACTAAGAAGATGGATGTGTATGCAGACTGTTTGTTCCTCATCTCTCAGGCAGACACGTTTGTGTTCTCAAAAATCACATTGGTGTCTAGTGTAGGTGTTTGTCAGCTTATCTTCTTACTGTTCACATCTCACATAACAACCCCTGTTCTATATAACACTTTAACATGCTTTTTTTGACAGCAATTGACAAAAGCAATCAAATAAAGAGTTTTCTTTAGAGGATGAATGAAAAAAAAGTTAAAAAATTAAAAAAAAAAATATTTTGGTCACACTAACTGATTTTGAAGTACCTCACTTACCATTTTCCTTCTGTGTGTGTGTGTGCGTGAGAGAGAGAAAGAGAGAGAGAGAGAGAGAGAGAGAGAGAGAGAGAGAGAGAGAGAGAGAGAGAGAGAGAGAGAGAGAGAGAACCACAAGATATGCTTCAACCAAGGTTTGGCAAGCAATGATTATGAAAGAAATAAAGCAATTCAGAATTAATCCTGAGTGGGTTTCAAGGCCTCCCTAACAAAGCTTTGTGTAAAAGGCAACATTAGGGAAGTTTCCTTTGAAGTCGAGAGCATCTGTCTGAAAAGCAAGGAACCAACCATCTGTATACAAAAAATCCACAGGCACACACACACACAAATTAATGTACACGCAAAACTCAATTTCTGGAACAACACTAAATTTTAAAAGTGGATGAACAACCAGAACTTTCCAATGGAAAGAAGAAGAAGATGAAGATCAATCAATCAAGCTTGCTTACTAGCAGAGAGACAAAAACTCTGAACACAAAAGAGCTGAATGGGCATAGACAAAGCAGATCAAGAAGATTGTGGAAAGACAATATACAGGCAGACATACAAACACTCGGTATAACCAACAGGAAAGAGAAGGTCAACCAAAGAGATGAACTGAGAAGGGTGATATCTGCAGCAATGAACCTCAAGGACACACATGCTGAGGAAGAACAAGATGAAGAAGTTGACTTACTGACTGAACTTTGAACTTCTTTCCACACATAGGACAATTGAGTACAGATGTCCTGGCAACCTCTATCTGTCGCTGGTGCTCTGTCTCTTCTTGCCTAGTTGCATCTTCCTGAACACAAGTTAATATTATTTTAAAATTTTTGCTCTAAGAAGACATCATAAAATATTTCCAATATACTTTGTGGTTCTTTATTAATATCTTACCCCAGATGATGTCACAGAACAGTCCAAATTTGTAGAGGGTGGTAAAACTGGGTTTCCCGGCTTTCTGATGCTTTTAACAACCTCAAAACATCTAGAACTGGCCCTAACCCCAACCCACCCACATCCCACGAGGGAGTGCAGCTTAGCTCCCACGACTGCATGCAGCCTAGGTCCCATGACTACATTCAGCCTATCTACCACTCCCTGAAATATTAGACTGTCCAGTGACCTGTGGATTTCCCCTGTTTGGAGTAGGATATTAATAAAGCACCTCTTTGTAAACAGAATCCAAAATGAACATTGAACAATTATAATTATTGTTAAAAATTAATCCTATTTCTTTTGTCCTACTGCTTAAGCCATAAAGTGTCACAAAGAGAAGTCAGGCGAAGTCTCTCTGGTTGCAGAACTTATGTTAATGTCACATTACATCCCTGTAATGTCTCCTTTACTCCCATTTCTTTTGGGATTGGTCTCTTTCCTTCTAGTCTGCAGTTTTCATGTAGTACACTTTAGCTGCTGGCTGATTTTGTTCTGTTCTGACCAGATGACCAAACCATTTCATTCTTTAATGTTTTTTTTATGCTAGACGGGTTCATCTGCCTGAAAAGTGAGGGACCAACAGTATGCATATAAATAACCTAGATCTGTAAAATAGGATGTGCACCCAAAACTCAAGTTCTTGAGTGATAGGGCATGAATGCAGTCTAGCTGACTGCAAGAAATGTTGAAAATAACACAAACACTGACTAAAAAACTCGTCATCTTTTTCCATCCTTCCACTGAGCTTTCTAGTCAATTGTTGTGTTATCTCCGGCATTTCAAGTTCTGGAAGTAGACTAAAGTCTAGAAGTGAACAAACAACCAGAATTTACTGTCGGAGTTTACAGCTGGTGAACGCCAGGAACAAAACTCCCTACTGAGCACAAACAGACCTTCAACCAACGGCAAGCTTTATGCCGACTGATGCTCACATTCACTTTTTGAAATAAATAAAGTAAAGTAAAGGACCCTTTTCTCCGCCTTCAGGAATACTGGTCTTACAGGACTAGATGTATATTTTACAGACCGATCAGCACTGGGTGGGTGATGTGATCAGCATCATGCCGACCACCTTTACTTCCCAGGACTGTAACTGGTACCCACTCAAGGCTGTGCCGAGGTGAGAGCCAAAGTCGTTAAAAAAAAAAAAGTCTGGCTCCATCAGGACCCAAAACCCACAACCTTTCGATTCTCAGGCGAGCGTCTAGTCGCCACATCATGGCAGCTCTCACTATCTGAAGTAGAGGTTTTTAACAACGGATGAACATTATGACACACGAGTAGTAACCCATAAGTGCTCTGTTCTTCTTCTAACTCAAATGTGAGTCCAAAGAAGCTCAGCACAGTGCACACGCTCTGCAGCACCAGCATAAATCCTGAAATACCTTGGGTATATTTTGAGCCCCACATTTTGCCAGTGCAGCGGCGGTAAGCTACTCTATTTGATTTCCAACTGCCAAGGGATTTTTTTTTACGTGCGCAACAATGCACACAGGCGTCCGATCTTACAACACAGAGACCAGGGGAATTACTAAAAGTCCAAGACCACGTGGAAAAAAATCCCAGCTCTTACCGGGGAAAAGAAAAAGTAAAGGATCCCTTTTAACCCAGTGACACATCAGGCATGGGGTGCCAGACATATCTGTATAGACAAATCAGCATTCTGTGGGTGATGATGGCTGCCTTTACTTCCCAGGAAATTACCTGTTACCCATTTCAGGCTGGGTCAAACTGGGAGCCAAAGCCAAAATCTTGAGAAAAAAATAAATCTCAACGCAGATTTGAACCCCCAGGACTTTAGGCCGGCACGCAAGCATCTAGTCACTACATGAAGGGAGCCAGGTTCAGGCATGGAGCCATTCAAATTACCTTATCAATGCACTGATTCACATGCTGCTGTCTTCGCTGAGAGTTTAGGTAGGTTAAGTTTGTGCTGCAGATGTGACATTCCACCTGATCTATGATGCCGTCCATTCGTGCTTTATTTTTATCTGTGCATACAAATATAAATATCGAATAACGTGGAAAAAAAAAATAAAAAAGGATTACTAACTATTAAAAAAATTACTATGATCTGAAATAAAAAAAAAAAAAAAAAAAAAAAAAACTCAACAAAGTGGTTTAAAAAAATGTTTACTATTCTTCGGCTTGCCAAAAGGAGTAATTCAAATGTTTTAAAATTTATCACAAATATGAGAAAGATGCAGTTGTCATTTTTTCCCACATTATGAGAAGAAAAACCTGAAAAATGTGACAACTGAAAAAATTCTGGAAAGAAAGACAGAGAAAAACAATAAAAATAGATTCTTGACAGCCTTTTGTGATGGCTTGGTAAGATGTCAGTTTATAACTATTCTATAAATTGCTGTTTTCTCATAAATATGATTCATATCAATCAGCTGAGTGTTTAGCTAAGAATTGACATCATGGCACTAGAGACATTCCCATAAGTGTTCCATTCTCATCTTCAGCAGCCAGCGTAATATTCCCATTCTGACGGTCCCAGTAGCAGTTTGATTTTATGTCTGCCTTGCCCTTCCACTAAATGTAGACCAGATTCCCTTGTCATGCCAGTCTGTACCATGTTTGCCAGACCATAATGATATATTCCTGCCTCTGCATTGTTCATTTGCTCTCAAAGGTACATGTCCACATAAAGTCCGTCATGCATACATTCAATGGTGCAGAACCAGCTAATCTGTCTGGCTGTTTATTTCCCAATACTCTTGTATAGCCCAGAGAAAATATCCAAAGAATGCTAACTAGCTGGGACCTCTGAAGCAATGTTTGCCACTCTGCACGGAACATGCCTGTCTCCACCTTTCTTAACATTTTTTTTTTTTTTAAATCTGTTTATTGGTTCAAAACATCAGATACAAATTCTCTTTACATAACAAAAGCAAAATCAATAAGGTGATGTGCGAAAAATGATGATGGTTTGTACCGTTTCTCACTGACATTTCACAGAAAATAGAGACAGGGGGAGGCAGAGAGGATCAGTGGGTTCGAGGAAAGCTGGGGCTGTTGGGTCTGTCAGCGGAAACGGTACATTTCGATGGTAATGTTTTACAGGTTTTAAGATATATTTATATTTACAACAACAGAGTGAGTGGAAAGAGAGAATGAAAGAAAGAAGGGAAGAAGGAGAAGAGAAAAGGGGACACGAAAGCGTAAGCGGACAAGGGAAACAAAGGATGAAATGGAAATAGAGATTTTTTTTTGAGGGAGAAGCAGCGGGATATATTTACATGTGCCTTTCGGCTATTATTAAACATTTTAAACAGAAAAAAATATTTCTTAACATGCTTTGTGAGTCGGTTACAATCATGACATTCATGTACAGCTGGTTCTCAAGCCAGCGAAAAGCTGCAGTGACTGCCTCCACCTCCAATCAGTTTGTTGCTTTTCTATGCCATGTCATAAAAGGTCCAACAATTAAGTAATGAGACTAATTCCCCCAAAATTAAAATAATCAACAGTTGAAAAAATAACCTGTATTTTACTCAAAGTAAGCCTCTTGTGCACTGATACAGCGAGTGGCACGATCTAACAAACACTGAAACGACCACTGCAGTTTTTCTATCGTTATGGCCCTTAAAGTTGATGTAATGGCCCTTTGGATGCCATCAATATTGTCAAAGAGGTGTCCTTTCAACCGCAACTTTAATTTTGGGAATAGAAAATAGTTACAGGGAGACAAATCTGGGGAATATGGTGGATGGCTGAGAACACACAACTGTTTTTGGGGCCCAAAATGCCTGTACAACTACCGCCCTTTGATCTGGTGCACTGTCATGTAGAAGGAAAATAATTGCCAGGTGTTGAATACAAAACGACAAGACATTTTTTTCTTGTAAAAATCTACCACTGAAATTTTTACAAATAGTCTCTGTATTAACACCAAATTCATCTACCATCATCCTCACAGTCGAACAACGATCTTCTTGTATCCGTTCTTGGAATTTTGCAATGAGTTCCCCATTGCAAACAGAAACTGGGCGTCCAGGTCTAGTTGCACTAGTAATCATTTCCATACCACTTTTGAATCGTGAATACCAGCTAAAAATCTGTGTACGTGATAAACAATTATCACCATAAACTTGCTGCATCAGTTCAACTGTCGCAATGGTGCTTTTTCTGAATTGCAAACAGAATTTAATGCTAGCCTTTTTTTGCTCCATGCTGATTACGTGCCAATGCACCTTTGACTACGTTAACAAAATGGCAGCTTGTTTGTTGTCTACTTATTGGGCGGCGATGAAAAGTTGCCAGATCATAGATGAAGGTTGCCTCTTTGGATTCCATGCTTTGATTCATAGATGACATTTTTGTCTTGGCCATTATAAAATCAGTCTCAATACTTAATTGTCGCACCTTGTATACGCTATTGTAAAGCACAAGATATAGAGAAGTATCACTGCCTGCTACAGTCGGCAAGAACCTGACGTTAATGGGTATTTGAGTGTTTGCTAGTTGAGTAGGCACACACATAAAACACATACTACCAACAGAAAATAATAAAACTGTGAAAACTTACCTGGTTTTGAAAAATTCTGTTTCAAACATTCAATGCTGTGTGTCTTAAAATGCAGCAGGTCAAAGGTTTTACCACACACCAGACACATTCGGCTGTTATCCCGGACTTCATCGGAGCCTGGTCCTAATGGCACGGTACTTGTAGCCTCCTCCTCCTTCACAGAGCTAACTGCTACATTTTTCAACTGTGTAAATTCTTCACAGCCATTGCTGTCTTCATTACTCTGGGGTAATTTAACGCTGCTTTTGTGTGCATGAGTCAAACCATGTGGTTTATTTTCTGCGTCAATTACAATAACATCACTGACACTAACAATAGACGATGAGTTTTTATTCTTGAGCCGTAAACTTCGCTTGAAGCGAGGAGCTTCTTTAAAGTCTTTAGTGTCATCCAAATCTATCATATTCTCAGACTGTTCAATATTTAAACGACTCTGTCGCAGCTGGAGTGCTTTGTCCAGCATATCTTTTACTCGAAATTTGGCTTCTGAATTGAAGATATCCTTTGTAATGCTGCAGTTTCTTTTTGAAGGCTTATTATTACTTTGTGAATTATGTTTTGTTGTTCCACTGGCATGACTTTCGCTTGCCATAACTTTAGTGATGGTACACAATAAGTAAATAAACTGTTAGTTTCTGTAAATCTTGTCTATCTGAAAAGAAACAAAGTACATTTCGTAACTTTAATTATGGATAATCACTCATTTTTTTTAGAAAATTAAAGCATAAACAAACTCAACAGCAAAGAACAAACATCAATTTTTAGACTTTGGACAGGACACAGTGGTCTTTGAGCACACCTGCACAGGACAGGAAAAAAAGAATCTGCTGCCTGTGATTGTGGAGCAGAAAGACAGACCCCTGAGAACATACTACAGTACTGCCCTAACTTCTCCCGGCAAAGACTGGATCTGGCCCAAAGGAGCCACATTGCAAGAGAAACTATGAGGGACTGGTGGCGACCTTAAACGCACAATCCTATTTGTGACCCAGACGGGACTTAATGTTTAGCATGACTGATGTCGAACGCAGAAGAAGAAGAAGAAGAGGATTAAGACGCAGGTATTGGATATTCTCACATGTTGAGAAAACCTGAAAGCAATGTTACTAGAACTTCTTGACAGTGGAACCCACTATGGCTCAGAAATAAAGGCCCACCAAAAAACACATGTGTTTTATATATGTGTGTATGTATTATTTCATTATGTATAAGTTTATGTAGACATAACATGCATTACAGATAACACGCAATGGTGGTATGAAAGATGAGTGCTTGGAAGGGCCAAATGTAAGCCATGCATGCCCAATTTGTAACCCTTTAAAAATTAAGTTTGTTTCTTCAAGGAATCTTCGTTAGTTACTCTGGCAGTCCAAAGGATTCTTACCATTCGTCTGAGCAGCCACATCTCTGCTGCCTCCAAGTTCTAACTAATTTGTGCAGTCACATTCCATGATTCACTACCATACAGCAGTACAGGTTCTACATAATGTTTAGGTACTCTCTTTCAGACATCCAAAAAGAGGGACAAGATGTTCTTTATTCTGTGAAATGCAGCCTTAGCCTGGCCTCTTCTGCTCTTAATTTTTGACAGATATCTGTATTTAGAAGTTATGATTGTAACCAGATATTTGAATTTATCAACCTGGATTAACTTTTAACCTTCCATTCTAATATCACACTGTAGTGGCATTCTTTTCTTTGATATAACCATAACCTCCGTTTTCTTTATATTTAAGGACAGACTCCTCTTTTTTTTTTTTACTCTACCTCACTACAATGTCAAATAATTGCTGTAGATCTATTGCATTTTCAGCTATAAATACTGTGTCACCTGCATAACATATGTTGTTTATATTATAACCTCCTACTCTAATTCCTTGTGTATATTTGATCTCTCTCAATAACATTTTGCTATAGACAGAGAAGAAGTCAGGTGACAAAACACATCTCTATCTTACTCTTTGTTTGATCTGTTCATATATGCCCATTCTATCTCCCATTTTAATAGCTGCCATTTACTTCCAATAAATATTGTTAATTATTCTGAGATCTTTCCCATTAATGTTGACATCTGCCAAGATTTTGACAAGTTCTTCAGGTTTCATTTGATCAAATCCGCTTGAGTAATCTTTAAAGCATAAATGCAAGTGTTTCTTGGTTTCAATTGATCTCTCCAGGAGTGTTTTCAAGATATATTTACATTATCTGTTTCTTTTCCCTCCACAAAACAACACTGTTCTTGACTAATTTCTATTTTTATTTCTTTTCTTGTCTTGTTCCAGACTTGAGTTCCACATACACATCTATTTTACAGATCTAGCTTATTTTATATGCAGAATGTTGGTTCCTCACCTCTCAGGCAGATGCATTCTGACTTTGAAGGAAACACCTCTAATGAGTAGACTTTTATTACACGCTTGTTAGGGGACCAGTAGAAACAGCTCCGTGGGCTAG